TACCATTAAGACATAAAGTGTTTCTCATGTTGCTATTTTTGATTTCTTAATTGTGGCACAGTACACTAAGCCAAACTAAACTAAAGCACAGTCCTTAGTATATGCTCAGCTATGTTGTGACATGGTTTCTGATGCATGGCATTATCATGAATTATTAAATGTGAAAGGGAGGCTAAATAGATCCCACAAATTGCTGAATTTTGTGTTCAATCTGTCAGTGAGTTCAAATAATCGAACAGTCCCAGTAGGGTCCCAAAGTGTTTGAATTTAAGAGAGTTCTTCATATAATCCCCTAGTCAGAGCGTTCAGGATGAAGTCCTCAGTTTTGAGCTGAAAGATGAGATTAAGATATCGACTCGTATTATATTTTCAGCAGTTGCATCAACGTAGAAAACTTGACCTAAAGCTGCATATGGTTCRTAATCTAATTGCAATAACGGAAACTATGGGCTATATTCTAGCTCACAAGCAAGTAAAAACTATCTGTAATAGGGAAATAGAAGTTTAGAATAAAAAGTAAACATAAAAGACTGAGTCAGTCTCCAAAAGCAATCATCCACAACAAGCAACACTGCTAATGCACAGTAAAGACAATGTGGATGCTGGTGGCTGAAGTTTCCCATATTTTCTAAGTGACTTTTTCAGCATTATCATCTGCCCTGGGCTTCCTGATCACGTTGTTCAGCTGTAGGGAGGAGAAATAGGGAGCGGATGGGCAAACGCAGAGTGAAGTGGGATCAAACCTGTGGTTTCAAGAAGAATCAAGTGGAAAACTGAGGTTATGCTGCTAACTGGGGAACCTCAACTTAGAGTTGGTGCTCATCCTACAGGTTAATGCTACAGTTAGAGCAGGCTTCATTAACAATGCAAGGCCTCATTTGCTTCTAATAAGGATTAATGACTCCTTGAAATTAGGTACTAGAGAACGTGTGTGCTCCTTGTCCAACAACATTGCCTCATAACTACACACTTAACTGAGTGCAGGGCATTACAAGGAAATGTGTTTGCCTAGAATTACGATATTATCTTTTATTACTTACTGATCAGGTGTTTGAATCAAAATCGTATTGTCCTCCCTGGTAAGAACAGAAGCTGAGTAGCAAGTCAAAACTAGAGCATCTTTGTTCCTTTTAGAAAATATGACAGGAGCATTTATTGTTTCAGCCTAATTAATGTTCATTTAATATTATAGCGTGTAGCAACAAAAGAGAAAAATCAACAGGAAGGACTAGGTATAGTACAAGCCAAAAAGATGTCTACTGTAAGGCAAGATGTCTACTGAATTACTTTGTCAGGTCCCTTCTGTTCTGTTGCATCATTCTGTAAAATTTCAAGTGTTGACTGCTGTTTTCTGAAGGAAGAATTGCTTCTCGTCCATCTGACTCAATGTGCTAATGTCCTTGTTACAGTTTTCCCAAGAGCGTATTTTCAGCTATTAAATTTTCAGCTATTCATTAAGAAATGAAAGAAGTCTAAAATAGCATGTAACAAAGTAAAAGCATGCAGTGAAGTTTTCTTCAATGCCTAATCATATCACAGCATAGAATTTGCATATTATACAAGACAGCTGTATTTTTTTCTAGAGATTTTATATCTTTTTCTCTTGACTTCTCATTGTTTTAATCATACATACTTGATATGTTTTGCTGTAAGCAAAATGTGTATACATAAATTATGCACAAATAAATTCAAGGAACATAATAACTATTATTACTGTTGACCTTTAAGCTAAGCCATATTACATTATTATCTGTTAATATTTATCTAGAATCATCACCTAAAAATATGAGATATGTACTTAAAAAAAAGTGTAGAACTTCGTAGACACAATGAAATTAAATGTATTATCCAATTTAAACTTAAAAAAATACTTAAAAAAAACTTAACTTAAAAAAATACATTACTGAGACATTAAGGGATTATAATTCACCTAAATAAAGGTACCTGCTATTGCATTGATTTTCAGTAATAATCAAAATTAATCCTTGGGATGACAGCCAACACAAATCCAATACATAGTTTAACAACTTAAAAAAAAAAACACATTGGCATGTGGCAATAATACTAACTGCAGAGAGGAGTATGATGAGAAATTGCTAAGATTTTCCTGAAAATATTATTAACCATGTTCTGCCTTCTCTTACTTTATATCATATATCTAACAAGTTTATAAACGTGAATTAAGGTCTAGTTGTGTGTTAGGAATGTGGAGCTCAAAAAGACAGCAATTTTCAATCAGTGATTGAAATCTTGATTTTTAGGCTATGGTTTCATCAAAGAGGTTGCCTGATGTCTGTAGTACATGAAGTATTCGCATAGGCAGTGCCCACCCACTACAAAACAGAAGAATTCTTCTACAAGGGAAAAAAAATTGATATTACATCATCTGCAGAAGCTCAAGCATTTTACAAGTATTTACTTAATGATTGCTTGCAACATTGGAAAATAGTATGTATTATCTCTTGAAAGATTTCAAGCACCTACCTTCAGTTTCTGAAAGAACTCTTTAACTTTGAGAGATTAAGAATAAACAATCTGGGTAGTATCTCTCCCACTCATGCACAGGATTTCCAAACATCTCTCCCTAAGAATTACACTGATATGTAGAATTTTACAACCAAGCAATCTATTTTTGAATTTTATATATTTCTGTATATGACAGCAAAGATACAGGCTGTTTTTTTTTAAGCCTGGTTTACCTGACTTACTTAATGGATTAAGAATCTCTGAGAAATTAGGATCCTGCTTTGGCTGCAGGATAGATTTTTTTCCAGTCTTTCTTTTATTGATTGGCAGCTTACCATTTATCAGTTCAAACAGCTTACCATTGCCATTTTGTGAAGTGCTGATTTAGAGGTCAAGCTAATGGACCAGGTGGTTCTGTTTGTACTTAGAAAACTGATATTTTCTGAGCCATCATTATCCTTTTTTACTTGCTTTTAGGACTTGGGATACAACATAGAGCACTCTAGAACTAATTATGAAAAGCCCTTCTCATAGGCTTTGTCCATCATTCCTGAAAAATAATAATAAAAAAAAAAAGTGTTGTGCCAACTCTTTTGTTGTTCAATCAAGCAAAAAACAATCCTATAGTGTTGCTAATTCTCTCACTGCATCATTGACATATAAAATATGAAAAAAAAAATCTATGGATGTCTCACATGCAGTATTTTCTTAGTAAACAAACTCTGCTAATAGTCAGCAAATGCAAAGGGACTTACATAAACTTACAGATAATCCTATTTTAATCCTGCAGTTGTGAAGACAAACACTGACYTGCAACATTTGGTTTTAACACAAGCCATAAACCAAACACAAACACAAGCCAATAGTAAATTCATACGTCTATTCCATTTGTACTTTCTGAAAAAGATACTTGTGAGCATGTGTGCACTGCATGAGAAATGCTATTTTCTTAGCATTGGCAGTTGTTAAAAGCACTTGAGACCACTTGCAWACTGAGAAAGTTTTGGATATTTCCTGCTCTTTTTATTTATAATTGCATTTTAATTAAATTGAATTATCTCTCGAGTTCTGATTTTGTAAGGCATTTTCACCCTGCATCTGAAAATTTTCTAATCCAACATCAGAGTGCTGCGTAATGGCAAAAGAGAAGGCAGAAGATACCTCATCAACTTTAAATAATGATCCAATGTGTTTATGTTTAAGAGTGGAGAAATTATGGGGTACAAAAAAAAAGAAAGAAAAAAAAAAAAAAGGAACAATCCACACAAGCAGAGGTCTTACTCTTTACTATAARTAATATAAAACAGCAAGATGTAATTTATCTGTAATTTTTCAGGTGTGGACAGAATAAAGGAAGTTAACAGATAAAAGCAGCAAAAAGACTCCTTACTTTGGAAAATTGATTCAACCTGACACTGAATTTATGAATTTATTGTCAGTCAGTATGAAAGAAAGCTGCTACAGATAGGCTTACTGGAAAGATTTTTCTGGGCAGGATGCAAAAAGTATCATAGTGCAGTATCRCAATACTTGCAACACAAAAAATTGGCACGTGTGCAAAGTGGTAATATTTTGTTGTCACAGGGCAGACAATTTTGTATGTATGATTACAACTAGAGTTCAGAGTTTGTTGATATCCAGCAACTTGAAAAACTAAATCTGAATTATCTGAAATACTCATTTAACTGAAATACAATAATCTCCAGCAAGGAGCTTATTTTTGGTGTTAAAATGGGTTTCATTCAGCTTCAGTGTGTTTTACTGCAGCGGGATCTAAACACATGAAACTATTGTTAATCCAGGTAAATTTCACCTATTGGGCTGTGCAGATAAGCTGTTAGAAAATATTTGATATGTTTAATATGTTTCATTGCTAAAAGTGGAACTGAGTTGATGTTAATTGAAATGTACTGTGTGAGTTGCAATAAGTAAAGTTAGGAAAGGTTTAGGACTTGATCAGAAAAGCTGTGACTGAGGCTGAAGCTGATCTGAGTGAAGAAGTTWTTGCGTATAACCCAAATCATTCCATAGAAGGGGAGAGGAGAAAGCAAAGCAAAGCACATGGAGGCAGGCCATCTTGAAGATTACTTTTTATATATTAATTTATAGATTATGTTACTGATTATTCCTCTGTAGTTATTGCCTTAAATAAATATTGCTCAAGTTTGTTTTAGATTGTGTCCAGTGTMATGGGAGAAAACTCTGTTGTCTCTTCAAAAAAATTAATCCTGTCATCACATTTTAATAGAGAAGCAATGAAATTGCTTTTCAAAGGGGCACAAGTAGCACAAGTTACAGCTTTGTAGAGTACCTAGTAAGCTTCTTCCCTTCTACCTGAGGGAAGCTCCTATGCACCGTCTCAGAAGAAATGTTAAATGTTTGCAATTTCTTTTTGACCAGTCTGGTTTTACATTAAAAATACTGTTGATTGGAGGCGGAGAGGGGAGAAGTATTTAAATTGTTTTCCTTTTAATAATTAAATCTATTTTCTTACATGATGSGGAATTCATCCTTTCTCTCTCCCTGCTTCCTAGGAAACAGATCTCATGACCTTTAATATCTCAATGCACCGGTCCTGGTGGCGGGAACATGGGCCTGGCTGCGTCCGAAGGGTGGTGCGTCCTTCTGCTCCTGGCATCCTAGATGATTACTCCTACGTCTCCGTGACAGGCTGCATAATCGATTTTCAGTACCTAGAGGTCATTCACAGTGCCATCCAAATATTGCTCTCTGTAAGTCCCAATTTTGGGTTGTGCTCAAATTCTTTACTCTCTACAGTCCTTTTTTACTCTTCTGCTGTTGTCTTTCTCTTTTCTGACAAGATGATTTGAATACCCATTTTGAATAGTACTGTGTTTTTTTGAAATAGGGAATGGTATTTGTGATATTAAAGGGTACCCTATTCTTCTTTTCACCTCCCTTCTATAAAGCTCTGTAGGGGTGCCCAAAGAGTGTGGGTCCCATGCTGGTCCTTGATGGGACAGGTAAATGCTAACACKAATTCGTGTCTCTAATTCAGTAAAGTGTGTATTGAAAGGAGAGCAGACTTGGTTGGAATTAATTTGCCTGAAGCTTCCAAAGGTCACAGTCATCAACAACATTTATTCAACCCTGAATATAAATCTGTTTTACATGGTACCCAGCTAAGTTGCTTCTGATGTGAGATATGAATTCCACTCTTGAAAAAGGGCAGGAAACTAATAGGAATTGGAATATTCATTTATATTTAACAGTGTTATCTATTTCTTCCTTGAGTTCTGGGGCATAAGAGCATGCTACTTTAGTGAGCCATTTTTATGCATTTGAATTACAGGCATTACAATTTATAAAAATATCATAAAACATTACAAAACATCTTCTGTCCAATGCATGCCTCTTCATCCTCTGAACATCAGCATGYCTGCAGGGTAAGGTAGGGAAGAGCCAGAGGCTGGATATGCTTTGGGAGCAGTAACCTAGTCTTGGACAGAGTGTTTCCACAGCCCTGATGTTTTCTCCTCCTTGTGATTGAAGGGTTCATTAGATTTGGTTCCATATGTTCCTCTAGAAGTCGCTCTGTTTTGTTTCCTCTTACTAGCTGTGTGTGGTATGTAGTGACTGGCCCACCACAGTTGGGTGCAGGTAAGAGTACAGACAGGATTACATTTCTCACCCTATCTAACTGTCTAGAATGAAGTAGAATAAAAGGTCAAGATACATTTTCTTCAAATGCCTTCTGTAAGAAAGAAGCTCCATGCTTTTCCCTTACTACTGCCTTTAATTGGAAATTTAGTATAACCTATATCTCACAGCAGTGGTTAGTGAATCACTAACAGTTCCACTTGTAAATCCAGGTCTGAATTAGTGCATTTGTTCAAAAGACTGAGTCAGTTGGGAAGGAAGGACTTTGAATGAGGACTTTTTCCAGTGAAGACAAAATTACTTCTCTAGAGGCCCAAATATGTATACACCAATATTCATATTAAAACTTCTATGAAATCAAGCCTTAAAAAGAATTTTGGGCCCAGCATGAGCCCAGCTTAACTGAATACATCTTTCTTACTCATGTGAGGGTCTGATACACAGAGCAAGTCTCCTGTCCCAAGATGATCATCTGCAGCGAGTTCCCTTCATAGTTAGGATCATTCACTTTGCCCCAATTAGCCTTTGCAAAGGAAACCCAAGTATGGTTGATTTACAAGGTTGATTTTACTTTATTACAAAAAATATATATACATTGTGTTAATCAGAAAGTTTTTTGGAAATTTTGGGTATAAAAACTAATTCAGAGTTCTGTGGAAAGAGAACAGCTGTTGAAATCAGGAGCTATTTTATTCTTTGTTTATGTTGTCAAGTTCTGGTCAAAATTTACCAAACTAGAACAAACAGTAATAGCWTAATAATAGGAGGAAAAAGAAGGTATTTACAAACATAATCACATATGAATATAGCAAAATATGAAAWTGGTATAAGAATTTACATTTTGCTATGTAAAGCACAAGATATCACAGATTTTCCCATTGTTGCAGAGTAAATTTGCTTAGAGCAATTATGAATAAATTGTTGGTACAATTCATTTTCTGTTTAAAATATTCCAAAAACTCAAMAGTGAACTAAACTGCTTCAGAAATTGCTTTTGAATGATACACATATTGAAATAAAAATTCCATATGCAAAGTAAGGTTTTCCTCCCATCCTATTATCTTATGATCCTGTCTATGGTGTGCTGTGATCAGCCCACCACAAAAATGTTCCGCAGTTTCCATTTGTAGTCTAGTTTTGCTTAATTTACTGTCCCACAGGTCAGAAATCAGTACCTAGCTATTGAGACTTGTTGCAATTTTCCATCCATTTTCTGCGTAGTGTTGACCTGAATGAGTTTCCATTCATTTTGGACTCCTAACTGCTTTCCTAATTGGGATAGCAATTTCAGTTGTTAGTTAAAAGGTCATTTAGGTTGTCTTTTTACAATGCTGAAAAATTGCAGGGTAGCTGGCCATGTAGGTAAAAAGATCTTTCTTTTTCCAAGTAGGAAGTCTTAACAACAGACTATTCCTTTCTGGAGCTTATAATCTCCTTAATTTTCATAACATTTTTATGTAGCAATAGTAGTGTAACAAACCATTTTACAGTGTAGCAAAAACTTTATTGGCATAACAAATCATTTTATCATGCTAACTCATCCAAATTACTAGGAAGGTGAATATTTTCATTTGATAGGAAGTTAGAGCTGCTCTGTAAAAAAAATCCCTTCAGGATAAATATTAGATACCTGACCAGTTATGTAATTCATGAGCAAATCTCTGGTTTTGAAAGGTGAGTTTTTATTGATTTTCTTAACAGGCATAAAAAAAAATAAAATCACAGAATGCTGCAACTGTGACTAATTTAGACCCTGCTCAGGGATTAGGCTAGATAGCCACTTATTTAACACACTAAGTCTCTTCCTATCTTTGCGTTGTCTCCAAGGAAAGTATTTTTTGCAAGTGAAATAATACCTGTGRATGTGGTCCTGATTTGAAGAGTCTATTCAATTGGTGTCGATGTTGTTAAGTATTTCTAAAGAAATGACTGAGGAAAACTCTGAGAAATATAATGGAATGGGATACAATTAATAGTAAAAATAAATATAATTAAGTTGAATGATTAAAATATGTAATACATATTTTTTGATGCACAAATCCTTCTGCACAGTCTTTTATTTTAAAATGCAAGATATGTCATCTTTGCTAAAACCTAAATTTTCAAGAACAAATGGATATTGTAGTCAAATTGATGAACGTTTAGCAACTTTTAACTTATAAGCCCTTAATACAACCCTTTTTTTGGCATTTGAAAGCTGATTATGCATAATGATAAAATTAAATGAAAGATGGGGACTGGCTTTAACAGACTGAGCTTTGGATTAGATCTGAGCCTAATATCACAGAAAGTGTGCCCACAGCTACACTGAAGTAGCAATCTCCAGCTATCTCACTGAGATAGCTCAGGGATTAGAAGCAGTACAACTTCATCAGTGCTAAAAAGCAAAACTGATTGATTCTGGTGGAGTGACACACTGACACAACTAGACTGCTTCTGGGGATGGGGGCTGATGCCTTCTCAACACCACATTGCATAGGGTGAGGTTAGCATCCCACCAAGGTCTTGTCAAATTGCTCATTACAGCCATGCCTAAAATTCACATACATTTCTGTTAAAGCAAAACAAAGGGGTGTGTGTGTGTGCGTGTGCGTGTGCATGTGTGTGTGTGTGTGTGTGTGTGTGCATGTGTGTATGTGTGTGTGTTTGTTTTCAGGGGAGGCCTGAAAAAGCCCTTAAATCATTCAGGCTGTTTGTCTTATTGATGTAGACCAAATACAGGATATACTGAAGGAAAGCACGTGTCTACTTAGCAAAGATCAATACAGTGTCTCTCATAGTGTCAGTTCATATAGCTTCTAGGTCAGAGCCAGTCCTACATGTGGGAAATACAAAAAAAATCTGGAGTAAAACCAGGCAGATATATTATAGGGAGATAAGAGCATTGAATATTTTCCACAGTGGAAATAAAAAGCAGTGAACACACCTGCCTAAGGGAAAGCCAGGGACAACATCTTATAATCTGTTATTAACACTACCTAGCATGAAACATAGCCAGAAAAATATATCRTGCTTCCTGTAACATAGTATATAATGAAGTTGTGGTATCATGAGAATAATAAAAAGCACTCCTGGCAGCCAAAACAGGAGTCAGATACTGTAGTTTCTGTGAAYTGAAATATTTTTCTGAAAGACAGGAAACCAAAACCATTACATTAAGTGTACCCAGGAAATCGAGAGCTATGGCCAGCTAACAGAGTACAGCTCCCATCTRTGCTAATGATCTTACCTCCAAATTCAGATGCCTTCATTTAAACCATTTARTGAAAATAATCCCTGGATTGCTGTGGCAGCTGAAGCTTTGCCTAGGAATTGCCAGGCATGGCAGGGGGGATTCTAGCTGGAACAGGCCAAATCCAGGCCCGTGTCCCTGCATGGGTGACTGCATCCCAGCACCTGGCCAGCTCCCAGGCATGTGGCACTGATTGAGTCAGAGCGGACTAACATCCAGCTGCAATTTGTTTCTCTGAATGAGACTTGGCCAGAGCTGGCAAGAAATATTAGATGGCCTATTTAGCTAGAAGGATGCAGAAGTCAGTGGGTCATACCAAAACTGTGTTWTTAAAACTCTGCCAAAGAGACTAGTTGCCTGCCTTTTTGGCTGGGCTTSCTAAAGGTCCATTTTCACAAGACACCTACTGGTTCCAGTGCCTTTCCTGACACATAGTATCAGGCGATCACTATTGAACTGATCTCATRAATTCTTACTGTTTTTAATATCCCTTTTTGTGGTTAGCTACTTTTATAAATGATAATAATTCAAGCACATCCTGTTCTCTGAAATTCTTCTGCTATTCTCAGCCCTGGAATGTGTGAGCAGCTCCAGCTGTGMATTAGGCCACACACATCTGTGATATGCCATTTGCTTGGCCATCTTGTGCCCTAAAGGAGAGCTCTGTGTGGAAATGAGGCTTTGTCTGCATAAGGACTGTAGTTTCTGTGCCATTTCTGACTGTTGCTTTGAACAAAATGTATAGGTAGAAAGCAATGCACCTTGGACTTTCCATATAAACTGCAAGGCTTGCAGCTGATGTTCTTGCTTGCAGAAGGTAATCTCAGGCTTGCAGAAGGTGATGTTCTTTATTTACACTGGGAATTCATTCCATTTATA